GTTCAATGTGCCATGTCTAATGGATGTCAGGTATCATTTAGCTCCTGCTTAATTCAATCTCCAAATTCTCCACCGCCAACTCCAAGTTCTCTTAACGCCTTTATCCACTCTGCCATCTGTCCTTGAGGAAAGATGGCACAGTGGATAAAGGCGTTCGTTAGATCCAGTGACAGGACACAAAAGAGTGTGAGTTCAATACCTGGTAGGGTCAGTTGGGCGCCATCTATGAGAAAAAAAGAACATAATGTTCCAAGTGAATTCGCCAAGATTTGCAACTTGTTCTACTTGGCATTCGCCCCGGAATTTCCAATATGAAAATTTTAGAAGGTTCGGAAAGAAGTGGATATCAAAATAATGGCGTTTGGAGTGATCACTAGTGATGTCAATGTTATGATTTCAGTATGCATCATTGATCAGAAATTTCTTAGAGAGCAGACAACTGGAAGCCTTAAGATTGCCTAGTAAAAGCGTCGTGCCACAATCCACAGAACGGGTCGGGAAGTAGACATAGTCCTATGTACCGAGCAATTAGACATAAAAAGTTTGTTACCTTTTTCTTGATACGTTGGACCTTGTGAGTTTTATTTTATTTCTTTTTTTTTATACAAAAATTGTGTTATCACCCCGTTAGACTCAACTTGCATTACGGCCCCAAGCCCTGTTTGATCTCGTCTGTCTAAGATCAAGTCACAACGTGGGTAGGCAGACCGGAGATCAGTGCAGTTACCCTGGTAACCAGGCGTTGGAAGCGGGTTGAGAACGACGAGGCTGGTATCAATCTAACCAAAGGGTTAGAACGTCACGTTTGGAGCAGCGAGGAGCGAACAGCTGACGCCGCGACAAAAGACGTCACAACTGGTGCTGTCCGTGACCAGAGGATATCAGAGCCTGGGGAGCACGTGACGTCACAATTGGCGCCGCGAACGGGATCGAACGACACAGTCGACGCTGCGACCGGGGGACGACGTCACAAATGGTGCCGTGACCAAAGGATCAACCCTGGACCACGTCACGTCACACCAGTCATGGTTACCAGAAAATTTCTGTGACCACGTCACACTTTATATCTCCCCAGAGTGCAGCCCCGCCCTTTACGTGTGGGGCACAGAGTGAAAGACCAACAAAACTCCTTGTAACGCCAGAGATGAACTGGAGGCAAGGATTATGGCAGCATTCACCAACTCAAACAAAGAGACAGTTCAGAAGTGTTTCAGAAGATTCTGAAGTCGTCTGGAGACGGTGGTTGAAGCCAATTGCGATTCTTATTGAATCAAGTATATATGTTTGTATATATTGCAAAATTATGGAGAAAGATGTGTATGCCAGATATTCGATAATTATTTTTTCTTATAGCATTTATCCAGTAAAATCAGGGTAAACATCACAGATATCCTGCCTAAGATTTCAGAGTTATCTAATATTCCGAGCTAACATCACGTCAACAATGCTTACATTCAACTAGTCATTGCTATTGTGGGTGTCCGTTTGGCTTCTTTAAACCACAGGTCAGTTGAAGTAGTCCTAGATTTCTAATCACGATAGTTATGCGTCTGTTTCAACGAGCGGAGCCCTGAAAGTATGAATACAGCTATACCTGCACACAGGGTAGAAAACTGTATCTATCACAGAATACACGAAGAATTGCGTCAAGATTGAGGCCCTGACCTCCTGGATTCCCAACTCACAGAACTATCACAGATAACCTCGATTACGTTTATTGCTGGTGTCCATTTTCTTAAATCATTTCATCCCAAGCAAGATAATAAATCTATTAAAACTTTTCCCAAGATCCCGGTCAGGCCAAGAATGGAGTACTATTGGCATATTTAGGCGGAAGCACTTTCCAGCCTCGACAGAGTCCAAAAGCGTATCCGAGTCCATATGGGTGACGAATTATTCCCACCCTCCAACCTTTCTCTCGCAGTGCGATCTGACGAACCTCTCGCTAATTTCACAGACGAACCAGATTCCTTGGTTCAGCCAAGTCTAAACTTCAAGGCAACAACCCAAAATGCTATTTAATTTGTACCAAACCACTCGCATTCCCTCCGTATTCCTTCGATGAGAAGTATGTTTCACTCGAACTGATTCTTCTCTCGAATTTCTGCTCTGTGGAAGCGACACTCAAGATGATATTTTCCCGATCATGGCAGTCTTAACCTGTTCATGTCTAAGGTTAACCATTACCTTCTTATCAATACAAACTGCCCCGATAATGTAACGCTCTACATCAAGTGACCTACGGCCTTGTATAGGGTGACCCTTGCTGTAAAAGATAAAATGACTCAATGGGTTAATGAGTGTGACATATAAGACATAAACATTATTAAGGAGAGAGAAGAATAAAAGAAGAGAAAACAGAAAAACTACATAACGATTGTCACTGCAATTTTTGAAAATCAAATTTTGCAGGAAATCAAAAAACCGGAAAAGACTTCCACATAAAAGATGTGCGAGAATAAAAACTGTCAGTCAAGAACAGGTAGATGGAAATAATAATATACTGTTTGATAAATAAACGGGGTGGCTACTGAAATACTGGTATCAACTAAAATAATTAAGTAATAAAATATGCCGGATCAATAAATAAAATAAAATCCAGCAGTTCTTTAGAAATTGCTTTGTTTACATTAGCGTACAAAACTGTATAGATATGTTTATTTTGAAAGTGCAGGAAAAGATTTGTGTTTAAAGGCGCAAGTAAACTTTCCTGACTCATCAACGTTATTAGTGGCCGAGTGGTTTAAATCATGCTGGATATGATGTGGGTTTCCTAGGAGAGTGTATATCTTTCCTTAATAAGATTTATTGATTATTCCGGACGGTAGCAGGAAATAAATAAATATATTGTTTAATAAATAAACGGAGTACCTACTCACGTGTTTGTATCCAAATATGGGTATCATTTCTTTATAAATTGCTTTGATTCTGTTAAGATACGAAACTGAACAGATATGTCTATATTGAGTGTTTAGGAAAGATTTTCCTTTAAAAGAAGTATTCATGGCAGTCAGTTATGTGCCATGATAATACATGACTGACGAGGCAAATTTTTTCCCGCAGTAGATTGCGATTTCTTTCTGCAGTAGACCAGTTGCCATCCAAGGCTATAGAACCAGGTCTGTTCTGCTTTTTACCCATAGCTGGGGGAAGAAGAAGTGGATTCATACCTATCCCAAGGGTAGTAGCACGTAAGTGAATATAACGGATTCGATTGGAATTCGAACTCGGCTCTCTGAATCCTCAATCCGAGCTGCTATCCATTATCCTTATACATTCATAATAATAGTAAAAGTTCCTTTTGCAATAGTCAACTACTGATTGAATAATTTTCTATTCAACGATTCCACCTTGCATGAAAGTCAGAGTGCTGATACAAATAAGAATTAAAATATTAATTTATACTAAAATATATATTTATAAGCATTAGTATATATGCTTATATATACACGTGGTCTAGTTCGCTTTCAGACCACGAGACTCGAATATCACCATGGTTTATTTGTCAGGAATTTTTTTTTAAGCGTTTCACCCCAAGCAAGGCGGGAAGCCACTAGGACGCAAAAGGTTACAGAAAATTTGGAACAAGATCAGATAGAAGTGATAGAAGAAAGGGTGAGGAGAAGGGTAGTGGATAGACCAATGCAACTGGGGATGTCGATTGACATTACATTTGAATAGCTGGAGATTGTAGCTCTCAGGGAAATTGGAATAGGGAAGGACGTTCCACAGGCGAGAGGTGCGAGACATGAAGCTATTGGAGTAGAAGAGACGGCTACATTTAATAGTTTCGACGGTGAAGGGGTGAGAACAGGATGTCAGCCTCGTAGGGCGCTTGAATTCATGAAGTCTGGGAACCAGCGAATGCAGCTCCTCGGAGCAATTGTCATGAAAGTATTTGTAAAACAGACAGAGAGGGGCGACGGTGCGTCTGTGAGAAAGTGGCTGTAGACGAGATGACAGAGCAGGGCCAATTATATTGCATATCCGCCTCTGGAGCCTATCAAGAATCCCGAGGCAAACAGAAGGGGCTTCAGACCATATATGGCAGCAATACTGCATGCAAGGGCGAATTGTTGACTTGTAGATCTGGAGGATCGATTCCGGGGAGAAAAATTTCCTGGCGCGGCACAGGGAGCCAACTTTCCTTCCTTATGTTATTGCTCTGGAGGAGGCGATCCCAGTGTGCGGCATCTTTGAAAAGTAACTCAAAATCATACAAGTCTTGTGAGTGATATTGGATAGAGTGACCATTGGGAACCGTCGATGGTTGTATTAGCAAGTAATCAAAAGTCATCGTGACCGAGGGTATGAGCGTGCTGGTCTTGTTCAGACTGTTAATCACGTCTAGATAACACGCTACCTCCCAGAAACCGTAACTAAGGTCCACTCTGCATACTGGCATTATAAACAATAGGTCGGCTCTGTGGCTTTCGAACGAGCACAAACATGCCTGAGCAGGGGTCTGCAACAAGGATTAGTGTGACATATATGTGAAAAAAAAAACGCTATTAAGAAGAGAGAGCAATAAAATAAAAAACAGGAATTAGCAACATTATGCGTTTAAATTATTGAATGTCAAAATTGACTTCAAATCAAGAGAGTTCCACAAACGAGAATTGTGATAGAAAAAAACTCTTAGCGTAGAAGAAAAGTGTATATCTAGCTATTTGCAACTGTAAAATTATGAGATCTTGCCGACCATCTGATACTGCGCTTTAATCTATATAATCTAGGTACCCTAGAGAAAATTAATATTTATTTTGATCTAATGCAAAAATGTGGCATAAGAAAAAAAAAAAAAGAACGGGATAGGGGCAAGCTGAACTTCAATCTGTCTTATCTTAAACATTTTGAGATAATAATTGTTTTAAACCCATAGCTGGGGGAAAAGACGAGGGTACCTTCCCAAAAGTTATTTACGTGGAAATGAATATAAAGAACTCAACTAGAATTGGAAAAAATCCGAGCTATTATCTATTACACAAGCACACTCAAGT